TCTAAAACCAGACAAACTTAAAGGTTTTTTTCTTTTTTATTTGATGCTTCCAACTTTATAGCTAATAATATACAGATATTCAGTTTTTCCATTGTTCCATTCACATCCTCACAGAGTTCAGCCATTCTGTCACATTGAAATAAAATAAAATAAAAAAAAAAAAAACAAAACCAAAACTGAAATATAATAAATCAAATAAATCCAAAGGCTGGAAAAATACATTATAAACTTATATTCAAGAAACATTCTCTTTATAATTAAAAACCTACTTGTAATAATTAAAGTAGGATTTAAAGAAAAAAACTTGATTTGAATTTTTAAATAGGTGGCTTTTGTGTATACTTTTAATTTTATATGTACAAGCCCAACCAGTATCTCTGCCTACCTGTGACAGAATACCTGAAAAAAACCCCAAAAAAAAAAGACACTGAAAAGGAGTTTTTAAACAAACAAACAAACAAAAAAAGATCAATATTCCTTTTCCAAAATACAGTATAATCAGAACTGGAAACACATGCTCCCCTCATCTGGGTTAAGGCCTCAGAGACAGAGGTGCTTTAATAAAAGCAGACAGTGTGAAGAAAAGTCCTTCCACTTTTCTCTTCAAATTCCTGTAACAGCTCATCTATTTCATTCTCCATGTCTTCTGTGTGCTGGATCTGCAAAACAAAACATCTGAGCAAGCAAACTCCAGGGCTTGGATGGTTCAAAATCTGCAAAAATCCAATTTTGGGTTTGCTGGGGATCTCACTGGGCAGCTGCACCCAATGGGCTTTACTGAACTTTAGTGAGAAACCAGAATTCCCAAATTTCTGATTTTATTGAGATTCCCAAAGGCACAGAAATTCTAATTCTATTGATCATTCCCAAAGGCACAGATACTCTGATTTTATTGATCATTCCAAATGATCAGACATTCTGTTTTTATAGAACAGATATCTTGATTTTACTGATCATTCCCAAAGGCACAGATATGCAATTTTTATTGAACATTCCCAAAGGCAAAGATATTCTGATTTTATTGATCATTCCAAATGATCAGACATTCTGTTTTTATAGAAGATATTCTGGTTTTACAGAACAGATATCCTGATTTTATTGAGATTCCCAAAGGCACTGATATTCTATTTTTATTGATTATTCCCAAAGGCACAGATATTCCAATTCTATTGATCATTCCCAAAGGCACAGATACTCTGATTTTATTGATAATTCCCAAAGGATCAGACATTCTGGTTTCATAGAACAGATATTCTGATTTTATTGACATTCCCAAAGGCACTGATATTCTATTTTTATTGATTATTCCCAAAGGTACTGATATTCTGATTCTATTGATCATTCCCAAAGGCACAGATACTCTGATTTCATTGATCATTCCAAATGATCAGACATTCTGTTTTTATAGAAGATATTCTGGTTTTATAGAACAGATATTCTGATTTTACTGAGATTCCCAAAGGCACAGAGATCCTTGTTTTATTGAGATTCCCAAAGGCAC